GTGCGAAAGGCCCACCACACTTAAAACAAAAAACCGAAACCCTAAACCCCGGATGGCCACAGAGCATGGTGCCTCCGCTCCTTTCAACGGAAATGACGTCAGTGCATCTACCTCCTCGGCATCCTCGTGGCTCGGTAGGCCTTGGTGTTATTTGGTTGTTTTAAAGTTTCCCTGGTTTTACTGGGTTTAGGGGTCTAGGGTTTAGGGGTTGTTTTAAAGTTTCCCTGGTTTAGGGTTTAGGGTTTAGGCCTTGGGACTTTGTTTTTTTTGGTTGTTTTAAGGTTTCCCTGGTTTAGGGTTTAGGGTTTAGGGTTCTGAATTTACTTACCGTTTCAGGTTTGGGGTTAAAAGGGTGCCAGGTCACTAGTACCTTTCAGAGGCAGCAGAGTGCGAAACCTAGGTCCGGTTCATCGTCCCTTTGGGTGCGCCGTCTCCATGAATCGAGGTGGCAAGTTGGGTTCAGGGGTTAAGTGGTAATGATAGGTTTAGGCCTAGGATTTGGGGGTACTTTTTTTGACTTCCCCGTGTGGCCTTGCGGCGGTACACATTCATACATTACATCTTTCTTTTGGTGGGGGCGGGGGGAATTCCGAAACCCCAACCCTAAACCCTAAACCCCCCTAAGTAACGAAGAACCCAGGAATCCATTCTCGCGGACCTGCAAGATTCAGACGAGCTTGAGGGACCACTTGAGGATCACGGCGCAGAGGACTGGGCTCAGGATAAGGCTTTCGAGTTTAGGGGTTTAGGGTTTAGGGGTTTAGGGTTTAGGGTTTAGGGGTTTAGGGTTTGGGGTTTAAGGACTGGGCTCAGGATAAGGCTTTAGAGTTTTAGGGATAATGAGGAAACCCTGCTGGTAAGGGTTTTAGGGCTTAGGGATAAGAAGGAAGCCCTGTTGTTAAGGCGCTAGGGTTCAGGGACCATGAGGAAACCCTGTTGTTAAGGCTTTAGGGTTCTAGGGATAATGAGGGAGCCATGCTTTTAATAAGGGTTGTAAAGTTTAGGGATAATGAGGATGCTCCTGCTATTTACAAAAGACATAGAGCATCATGGAACCCTAGTGCGGCATCTTAAGTTAAGTTTCGTTAGACCCCAGAGACTCCAAAACCCCTTAGTAGTTAAGGAATCGACCTTCAAGTATAGTAGGAACCCTCATATGATTTAAGGGTATATTCCTTTTTTAAAGGGGTTTTTGGAGTCTCTGGGAGCAGAGAGGAGGGCGAAGATCTGGGAGCACAACCAGGCCAGGGAGCACCGAGCAGCCAAACCGCTTGCGATCCCTGTCTCTTGTTTTTTAGCCGGAGGGGTGTCGAGGTGGCAGATTTGGGAATCTTTTGCAGAGCCACGGTTTAGGGTTTAGGGTTTAGGGTTTAGCCCTATAGACAGTAGAGATATACCTATGTCATCATTTCCGGAAGCCCTAAGCCCTAAAAGGAGAGCCGCAGCCCAGGTTGTACCAAAGGGTCTGCGTGCCACTACTGCCACTTGGACCACCCCCACTTCCAGCGTGCGGCCCGCCGACCTCGACGTCAGGCGCGCGAGCGGTACAAGCGCAGTGTACTGCAGCCGCTTGCCCTAAACCCTAAACCCCTAAGCCCCTAAACCCTAAACCCCTAAACCCTAAACCCCAAGCCCCTAAACCCTCAACCCTAAACCCTAGGCCCCTAGCCCATAAGCCTAAACTCTCAGCAGACTCTAAACATCTCTAAGCATCGGAATCCTTCGAGCCTAGAAGGACCTAGTAGCTGAGTAGGGCCCTTTAACCTTTTTGGGGCTTATATAATCCTACCATAGTTGAAAGGTTAAGCTTTTTTGGGCTAGGGTTCTCAGCCCCTAGGAGAAGGAGCATTCGAGATCCGTCGGTTCAAGTGGTCTTTGGGGCCTCTTCTGACTGGTATTTTCGTAGGAATCAGGTGGCATGTGGGCAGTTCTCTAAAATGGGTAGGGTTTAGGGATAGTTCTAAGTTAGAGTCCCTTTTTAGGTCCCCAACACGGTACGGCACCCTCCTAAAAAAAAGGATCCAAAAAGGGACCCTACTTTGGAGAACTACCCATGTGTAGTACAACAGAAGCCCTCCGGGGTTGGTACTTTTTTTTTTTTTATATTTTGGGTCAAAGGGCTTGTAGAAAATAGAGCAAGGAGTTGCAGTATAGAGCAGCCTACTGGCAATAGCTTCCTCATTTAAACAGGATCCGCGATTCCTTGAATGCTTCATCATCGTCCCATGAGGAGCTCTTGTCGGTTCAGGCCTTAACTCCTAAACGCTACTCCGGTTCCGGGTTTAGGGTTTAGGGTTTATGTTTAGGGTTTAGGGTTTAGGTGTTGGTTCCTTGTAACTTGTAAGGCCAGGATGTGGCCGACAGCTCCCACCCCCCCCCTTCCAAGGCCTTAGATTCCTAGATCCTAAGCCATGCTGACCAGAGGTCCAGAGCCCATATTTGCATCCCCGACTTAATCATTCATCATCGCCTTATCGATGCTTTAACGCGCACCCCTCTCTATCCCTTGCCTTACAGCGCCCTTCTTTGATCCTAATAACTTCCTTGCAAATCGCAGGAAGCCGTCAGTCTCTTATGGTTCTAGATTCTAGTCTCGTACAGGGATGGGTTTCCAACAGAGGCATGTAGCTTTGTGGTGTTTTGTGCAACTCCAGAAGCTTCCCCAAACATCCCTAAGCCAAAAACCCTAAACCCTAAACCCCTAAACCCTAAACCCTAAAACCCTGAGCCCCTAAGCCCTAAACCCTAAAATCAAAACCTAAGACGCCCAGAAGGATCCTTCCATCTTAGGCTCCTTCACAGCCAGCTCGATCTCGAGCAGATCCACGACGAACTGCAGGAGCGCTCCGGAGAACTCTTTAGGGTTTAGGGTTTAGGGTTTAGGGTTCAAGGTTTAGGGTTTAGGGTTTAGGGTTTAGGGTTTAGGGTTTGGGGTTTAGGGTTTAGGGTTTGGGGTTTAGGGAACTCTTTGGATTAGGAGTCCAGAGTTAGGGTTTAGGCTGAGGGTGGAGGAGAACAGGCCTAAGGAGTTTAGGGTTTAGGAGTTTAGCCTTTTCAAGGTTTTTTCTTTAGGAGTTTGGGGGTCGGTTTACGAAGGTTTAAGGTTAGGGTTGAGGGTTAAGGGTTGAGGGTTAGGGGTTTCGCGCAAGATACCCCGGCTGTTGCAATTGCCACAAGGGCCTCGATTGGTACATAAGAGCCGGAAAGGGTCTGATAATGCAAAACCTCAAACCCCAAAGCCCCTAAACCCCTATAACCCCAAACCCCGAATCCTGGTTTCGCTTTGTCATAGTTGTGTAGCATTTCTACGTGTTTATGGGTACTTCAACTCAATAATAAGGAATAGAAATTTACATTTATAATACTATCCCCACCACGAGCTTGCTCGGGCATGTTAACTTGGCTTGTAAGTAGTTAGTTGCAGTTAGCCTCCTAGCGGTAATTGAACATGACTTCAAAAACAGCACTGACTAGGTCCCCTGACCCTAAGGCATAGGCCCTAAAGCCGAGATGTCCGATGTCTTCAACTTTGCAGGAAATCTCGCGCAAGAACCCCTACTTGCGCAACTTTTTCCAAGGGTTTCTGGACAAGCCGGACGTCGAGCAAGCCGAGGCAACTAAGGAAGGGCGTAGCAAGAGAGGGATTGAGAACTAGAATAAGGTGTCGATATGCATTCTAGCATAGTTATGATAAGGAACCTTCAGTTCAAGGAAGTGTAACGGATTAAGTTTAAGGAGTTATGAAGGAACCTTAGGTATCAGGAATTTTGCTGCTACTTCTTCAGGCTTCTTTATAACGGCATCCTTGGTGGGTCGGGTTTGCGCGGTATGGCTTTTCAGACAAAGGAGTGAATTGGGTTTAGGGTCAGACAACGGAGGGAATGAAGTTTACTGCGTTTTTTGGATGCGCTCTTGCTAGGTTCCGTAAGTTTTGCAAGGGAAACCTTGCTCCCGTAGATTTTCGAGGGAGGTCTTTGTGTGTTTCCCGGGTTTCTTGCAGGAAACCTATCTCCCCACAGACTTGAATACCCAGCCCGTAGTTTCTGTTCATGTAGTCTGTTTTCGTTTGATCAGAGGGGACAGAGGGAAGGAAGGACGGACGGAAGGAAGGAAAGAAGGATGGAAAAGAATGAATGTGAGGGAGGAAGGAGAGAAATGAGGGAAGCTACGAAGAAGAAAAGTACAACAGCAACAAAGGCAGGAAGCAAGGAAGGATAGAAGGAAGGCTCCAGGAAGGGAAGGAAACACGGAAGGAAAAAGGGAAGAGACCGTGGTCGGTGGGAAGTGGAGTCAGGAATGCTCTGTAGAAGACGCTGCCAAAGGGCACGATATCCCTTGATTACGCAGTAGTCATTATTTAAACCATAACTTTAGTCCGACGTCCTCTAACTATTTGATTAGGAGTTCAGTTTTGGTGGCTTCCCCCAACTACAACTCTCAGTGAGGCTTCCCAAAGTGTCGGCAGCCCACCTCCAGCAGCATGCGCGCCTGCGCTGCGTGTGCCCGGACTTCAGGCCCAGTCACTCTAAACCCTACAAGACACAAGCAACCTGAAGCCCAAGCCTTCACCCTAAAGCCTAAAACCTAAACCCCAAACCCTAAACCCAGGACCCTGAACCCCAAACCCTGTCAACTCCCAGCGCTACGCGCCCTAAACCCTAAACCCATCCTAAACCCATGGTAGTGTATAGCTTCGTAAAAAAAAAACGTGCATAGGTTAACAAAGAAAAGCACCTATGCCCTAAACCCTAAAGCATCCTAAACCTATGCCCTGAACCCCTCCTCTGAGAAGCCTCACAGTAGCCCTTAAACGACTTTGTAGTAACGCTGATGGAGCCGCTGCAGAAACCGCCAGAGGAGCCCGTTTAAGCATTTCAAGCCCCTTATCCCAAACACTTAAACCCCGAACCCGAATCACAGAACCATGATCTCCACCACTCTAGGGTTAACCGTTTCCGGGTTAAGGATGTAGGGTTTCATCTCGAAGCCCATTATTCTCGAAACCTTGGTTCAGGGTTCAGGGCTTGTCTAATCTCTAAACCCTAGACGTCAGGCTCAGTCAAGCCACACCGGGCCTGGGCAACTGCTGAACGATCCTGGGTGGCAGTCGAGGTTCAAGGTTCTATTCGGGTGTGGAATTGGCTCCGCCGAGGGTTGCTGCAAGCTCAGGTGCCGTAACGGTTGCGATGATGTGGGCTCAAGGCTCAGGGCTTTGGGGTTCAAGATTTGGGGTTGATGGTTGAGGGTTTGGAGTTTAAGTTTCAGGGGCTTAGGCTTCAGGCTTTAGGAATTCGAACATTGAAACCCGCCGTAACGTATACGAAGTACCCCCACAGCCATGATGGATTGAATAGGACGAGCATTTCCCTGTGAAGGGGTTGTTACGGTAAGGGGATGGTCGCCAGGTTCATCACTGTAGGAGTCATGACTTGCTTCTGTGCCTGTGAACCCGGGAGCATAGGACTGCTGACAGGACGAAGACGGAGGAGAATACGTAAGAAGTCGTATCAGAAGCTGCAAGCAGCCGTACCTGCCATAGCAGAAAGCTGTTCCCCATGATTTCAATGTCGCTTCTTTGCAGATGTCTTCCGAAGTAGCCGTTGTGTCATTTCATGTCTATTTTTCGGACACTAGATTTGGATGCAAGTGTTTTCGCCTTTGTTCCGATCTCCTGGCTCATAGGGTGGGTTCATGACGTTGGTTTTAGGGTTTGGGGTTACAGGCTTGGGCCCGGTGGCCTTAGCTGCGACACTCAGACCTTGAACCCCTAACCCCGGCTCAGGACTCGAGCGGCTACGGCACCGGTTCATTGTCGTCGGACTTCTTGCCGGAAGCCGTCAAGGGTGACGCAGATGCCACCGACATGAGCGTCGGACGAAGAGACTAGTATCCCTAAACCCTAAACTCACTCACTCAGCGCACTGCGGTCCAGAGCGGAGACTACATGCATCAGCCCAAAGGTCGCGCGCTGTGAGCGACGGGCAGAAACAGTAAACCCCAAACCCTAAATCCTAAACCCTAAACCGTAAATCCTAAACCCTAAACCGTAAATCCTAAACCCTAAACCCTAAATCCCAAACCCTAAGCCCTTAACCCTATTATATATGAGCCCAAGATGCGCCAGAGATGGCACAGCGGCCGCACAGTAGGTGTGCCCACGGGTCCAAGCACCACTCAGTGCCTTCCTGCTAGTTCAATGCAAGGAATGTACGAATGGACCCTTTATCAGAGGGGAACTTAGGCA